TAGCGATTGTTAGATTTAATCAGCGCGATTCACTGCAATATTTTTTTTACCCTTAGTTGGTAAAAATTAGGGTTGGGTACCGAAACTCGGTGCCAATAGGGAACCGGTTCCGACGTAAACGGTAGTAACCAGACCGAATAAGAACGAAAATTTCGGTGCCTGATTTCGGTGCCTAATTTCATTAGGCACACACGCGCGCGCGCACACACACACACACACACACACACACACAAGGTCTCTCGCTCGCTCTCTCTCCGCCGTGCGTGTGCTACATGGTGCTACACAGTTTGGAGCACAGTTTCTTCTGTCTCGCATGCGCGCTCTTTCTCACAGGGTTTGGCTGCATTTCACGTGTAAAATTACGTGTCAGAACGCCCTCTGGGTGTGTGCCGATCTGCCGATAGTCTGAATCCCATATAGAATCAAGCCAATTCATTGGCTGATGGCGCGGGCGCCGCATCGACGCACTTACGTCGTCATACTATGTTGGCGCGCGCGCGCCATCTGCTCCTCAGATTTCTTTGCCGAAAAAGGCGAAGCTGGTCGGCAGCGCGAGGAGCTTGGCAGCGTCCCGTTCCCTATTGAGAGATATGTTACACCAGTAACCAGAGATGTTCTCTTTCATAGGTTCACTCAGCGCTGCGTAGCTAAGAAGCAGTGAATTTGTAGGCTGCTGTATCACGTGCCGTTTGAACTGACGCACAGCGATCTGTCACATTTCAAAGAGCCAAAACCGTTATTTATTGTGTGAATCTCGTAAAAATATTGACAGAATCTGACAGCTGTGGATTTGTTCCATATCAAAAGTAACCTTCTCTGTCTTGTCTGTCAGTGTCCTCTTTGTCCGCGATTTTTCTGTGTGAAAAGGGTCATTTGCGTGAGTCTCACGGTCAATGCGTGAGAGTTGGCAGCTCTGCCTGCTAGTAATCTCTATTAATCTCCAGTATTATTACATTGTTTGATACAATATTGTTTCATTTGATATTATGTAAATATGAATTTTTATTTTATATTGGTTTTATTATTACCATATGTTAGGCCTACTTGTATTTATATTGTTTAAAGATTTAAGTTAATATTGTGTCCAGTTTGGCCCTGTAAATTAAAGGGTATTATTTTTTTGATAAAGTGTGTGCGGTTTCATTTTCTTAAGTACCGATTTAAGAACCGTTTAAGCACCGGAACCGTTTAAAAAATACCGAGTAGGTACTGGAATCGGATAAAACCCAAACGATACCCAACCCTAGTAAAAATATATATTTATATATTTAAAATATATCGAGATATTTTTTAAACACGATATGGATTTTGACATTTCGTATATATCGATATATTGTTTATATTCTGATTTCGCCACTTTGCCTTCTCTGCGCTGTGCTCGCCCCCGCCTCCTTGCTTTTGTCCCCCCTCCCCTCGCGTGTTGTTCAACATGGCGGCGCCCGCAACTAGCCCGGAGGCTACAGAACCCGTCTAAAAGAATCGTCTTAAATGCTGTCTTACATGCACTTCTTGAGGCACACTAGCAAACACACGCAAGGTCTCTCGCTCTCTCTCCCTCTCTGCCGTGCGCGCGCTACACAGTTTGAACCATAGACTGTAAAAAGGTTTGAACATACAGATTCACGCAGTCTTTCGAAAACCGGGACATTTTGTGTCCCGGGAGAGTGGATAAATTTCCTGGGACAGGTTATTAAAAAGAATGACAATCCTGGTGGCAACCCTGGCCTTTGCCGTCGTTGAATTATTATTTTTGTATACAGGGATTTTTTTTTATGTCGCAGAAGCACTTTGGACTACATGAACTGCCTACCTCTTTGCACTCCAATGAAAAAAAGACTGTGGTATTTGCCATATTTGTTTTTACAGTAGTTTTTGTTGGGTTATTTTTCCTGTAAAGATATCGAGATATATATCGTATATCGAGATAAAGCAAAATATATCGAGATATATTTTTTGCTCCATATCGCCCAGCCCTTGTTTCTTACTAGTTCAGACATTTTCCGATGAAAATTCTTATGTTGGTCATGTACTTCCAAAAAGTATAATCAGTGATTGTGAACGCCAGTATCCACACCGGCGCAGTGACTGACAGACACACTCTCCTCAAACATTGTGTTCATCCGTGCTGTGCCGCGCCGAGGCACAACCCACGTAAAGTTGATAAGTTGATGCAATTGCAGATTTTGAACAGAGATGGCGACAAAGAGGGGCTGCAGCTTTACTTACATTTATTTGACAGTTCACTGCCCCATCAGTCCGCACCCCAAAGTCGATCCAGAACCTGGAGTTTAATCACGTCAATCTCACTACCCCTCCACAGACCCAGGCCATCAGCAGGGCTCCAGACTAAATTTTCCACTGGTTGCACTGGTGCTACCAACTTTCTCAGTTGGTCGCACCAGCATATGATTTGGTCGCACCTTTTTTTTCTTTTTTTTTTGCTACATGCCATGGGATTAATCAATGCATGCTGATGAATAGTGGTTTTAATGGACCAAGGCTAGCAAAGGCTTTCTGGGTTGCAGCAGAAATACCTGTAATATATTAATTATCATTGCCAAATTTCAGGATTTTCATGGATTTTGGACAGTAATTTTAATCTGTAATTTTAAGCATTTTACATTTGAATTATATACAATCTATCTATTTACATTTGAATCATATTCTATCTATCTATCTACCTATCTATCATCATCTTTCTATCTTTTAAAAATCATTAAACATTCAAATATATGCATTACATTTTAAAAGATTAGAGTATTATAATAAACTGATACAGATTTTTCGTTATCAAAGTTTATAGTTGTAACAAAAAGCAGAAATCTCACACTCCTTACCTTCTGCATTTTATAATAATTTCCTTTTCCTCTGTCGAGCGATCATGAGAGTAATCGCTCGACAGAGGAAAATATAACCGCTGAAAAGACGTAGGAGGAAGGGGCTCTGTGTTTCGGGAGACCATTTTAATATGCCTTAATTCGTGAATTCGTAATTGGCGCGTTTCACCATCAGTGTGCGATGCGCGTGAGTCAAGTCAAAAACACGGTTTGGAAAATGGATTCATGATGTAGCCTACTCGTTCATTTTGAACATAAGTTACGGACTGCAGCAGCTGATACAACGGCGTTCTGTTGCTCAAGCGTCCACTCGCACAAATGCGACCACATATCATTTTAACTCACACATTCTCAATTTGGTCGCAGTCTGGAACCCTGATCAGCCGGGCTTCATCGCTCAAGTCAGTGGTGGAATGTAACGAAGTACAAATACTTCGTTACATTACTTAAGTAAAATTTTCACGTATCTGTACTTTACTTAAGTAGAATCAATAGTGCATACTTTTTACTTTTACTTCGTTACATTTTGCAGCAATTATTATACTTTCTACTCCACTACATTTCTACAACGTTCTGTTACATTTTCGTTAAATTTTCTGATCAGTTTTCCCTGCCAAAACGTCATCCTGACCGTCCGTTCATCGCACGTTTCTGTCTCTCCAGTGAAGTTTAGTTGCCATAGATATATCAACCCGGTCACACTAAATGCGTCTCTATAGCACGCAGTGTGTTTATCGTGCAATTTATATGCGGAAATTAGTTTTTACATGCATAGGAAACGCATTGGTAGGTTTAGTCAGAGACTATTTATATAGTAGTGGTGTGGGGTGCGTGTGTATTATACGTTTGGTTAGGATTAGTATGGCAAGCCAAGAGGTTCAGAATTACGCCATAAATGAATCGCGTTTACAGCCAAACGCCGTCACATACGGCGTTTAAACATAATATGTGTATATATATATATATATACCGTATATAATAAGGGTAGCCCTATATAGTAAGCTTGATGTGTATATTGCCTAATTGCAACCTTGTTCAGAAATGGTGACAAAAACTTAAAATATAACTGCTTTTCCATAATATTGAACATCATTATAGGATTATTAGGTTGAATGAGTTAGAATTAACTGTTTTATTAATCATTAGAATATAGACATTAAGAGAATAAATTGTTATGCAAGTACTTTTACTTTTAATACTTAAAGTACATTTAAAATCAGGTACTTTTTACTTTTTACTTAAGTAGGGTTGTCATTGTGGTACTTCTACTTTTACTAAAGTAAATATGTCTCTGGTTATTTGTACTTTTACTTAAGTACTGAGATTCAGTACTTCCTCCACCACTGGCTCAAGTTCACAATTCAGTCATTCATGTTTCTCTCTTACCCAGTTCTCAGTGCCACTTGAGTTCAGTGAATCAAAAGGAGGAATACAGTGCAACCAGTCGGACGTACAGTGAATACAGTTATAAAAAGAATTTAAATAGTAAAATAATTCAAATGTAAATGTTTATGAGTGATGTTTAATCCTGCTGGACTGTGTGAGTGTATCGCAGCACACATCAGTGTAGATAAACACAGCAGCTCATGTTAACGCTGACCTTAAACACTAATGTTTGTCTGACCTTAATCTCAACCAAACACACACAGATAAAAACAAGCTGATCCCAGAATTACAGTCCAATTTGACATTTGCTCCGGAGGATTAACAGGGCTCAAAAAATATGTTTATTAGATCATTTTTACTGTTCATATCTGTGCTTCTGATGTGATCTATTGTGTTCTTGCAGTGTGATGCACATTTCAAGTCAGTTACATAAAAATGTAGATTGGCCTAAAATTGTCTAAAAAGAGTCTGAAATTGTTCATTATATGCTTTAAACTAAAAACACTATAGTATATTACCTTAAACCAGAGCTAAAATTCACAAGTCTTTCTCACATTAAAATGTATTGTGTAAAATTAAAAAGTAATGATCAAGACTGTGACTCCGCACATCAGTAATGATGATTTTAACGTCATGATGATTGAGTGTCATGAGTATGTGCTTTAAGAGAAGAAGCTCGAGAGTATTTGTGTGCTGTATGTTTATGTTTGCTATTGAAAGTCATCTATTTATTGTCTTTGTGTTTTTCTAATGGTTTCCTCATTCCTCACTCTGCAGATGACTGACAGGACATGCTGTCACTCTGTCGTCATGACGATGGTCTCTTTCATCTGGCTCCTCCCACTCATCGCTGCCACGCCCTTCCCCAGGGATCTGCAGCCAATCAGTGTGGTCGGACTGGAAGGTGAGTCACATGACAATTTTTCTGCAAAATGTTTGTTTACTCTGCTAACATTTTTAATGGCCCTCCTTCAAAAATTCTAATTTGTTGTAACTTTTTAAAATAGTTTGTCTGAAGCAGAATACGTCTCTTTTTTGCTCATAATTCTTCTAACCTACTGGCTTTTGATAGCAATTAATGATATATTTCGCAAAATTTACTGAGCTGTTTCTGACAAATGGAACAGTATTTTTTCTTTTACCCATAATTTGACAGTAATACAACTGATATAGGGACTTAATTAACATTTCATTTAAACATTGACATGAAGTCCACTTCATACAAACACCCAGCTGCATTCTGGGATGGAAAGCGTCACAGGAACGGCTGGGTTGAGGGTTGCCTGACTGAAGTGTTGCTGTGCTCCACAGACTCACTCCTGTATCCCAGTTTCCAGGGTCTGATGTCAAACAATAACTCGGAGCGTCTCGGGCTGGACTATCAGCGGATGATCCGGATCCAGCAGATGCTCTACATCGCCGCCAGGTCTTTCATTACTGAAGACAAATCTGTGCACAAAACACATGCAGTGTGGACACACTAACGTGAACGTATAGATGCAGTGTAAAAATCTAAATAAATAAAAACTCAATTAAAATCCAAGTATCTTGTCAAAACCTGCTTGAGTGAAAGTAAAACAAGCTTAAAATGTAGTATTAAACAGTAGAAATAACCACTTCCTAGTTAGTGCTTCTGTCTTTATTTGGGGCATTTGGTTGTTTTTCTCTGCAAATATTGATATGCTATTAATTAGAATAATCAGCATATAATGTAATTAATTGACAGCTCTAATTGTTACTCAATGTAATATTTATTTACGTAAATATAATGACAGTATCACTGTTCTATTCTGTGATAAGAACATCAATATATATATATTTATTTTTATTTTTATTGAACACACTTATTTACAAAACACAATTTACAAAATCTCTCGTTGGGAGACTCCTGTGCAGAACATAGTTAAACACAGTTACTGTATTTTCCGCACTATAAGGCGCACTTAAAAGCCTTTAATTTTCTCAAAAAACGACAGTGGGCCTTATAATCCGGAGCGCCTTATATATGGATGGTGAACACACGTTCACCAAGACAGGAAGTAAATACGGGTATGTGAGCTGGCTGAATAAACATCATTTTTATTCATATCTTTCACATTTACTGGAGTCAGATTCACCGTGTTCACTCACATGGCTGTGCACTTGTAATGACACATTAAGGTTGTTAAGAGGCTAAAAGCAGGTTTAGAACTTTTCCCGTTTAAGTCAACAGGGTGCAAACTTTAAAAAGAGGATAACACGGTGTAGCCAACACCGGTTTTTGTCGTTGTTCTCTGTACTGACAGCACTCCAAATTTACAAAAAATGAGCTCAATGTTAAAATTGACCGGAGTTTTTCTTTAACGTTTGAACAACGTTACCATGGGAGTGAACGGAGTTGTCAGAACGCTTAATAAAGTTTGACTTGATCTGACTGTTTTG